ATTCCACCTATGAGTGGAGTCATATAGAGTTCGTCTTTCTCTGACTGGCTTATTTCGCTTAACATAATACCCTCGAGGTCCATCCACGTTGTTGTGAATGGGCCAATTTTGTCTTTTTTTTATGGCTGAGTAGTATTCCATTGTGTATATATACCACATCTTCTTTATCCAGTCATCAGTTTCTGGGCATGTAGGTTGGTTCCACGTCTTGGCTATTGTAAATAATGCTGCGATGAACATAGGGGTGCAACGGACTCTTGAGATTTCTGATTTCAGGTTCTTAGGATAGATACCCAGTAATGGGATGGCTGGGTCATAGGGTATTTCTATTTTTAACTTTTTGAGAAATCCCCATACTGTTTTCTCATACACTGTTGGTGGGAATGCAAACTGGTACAGCCACTATGGAAAGCTGGTCTCTTTTTTTGCCCTTGACTCAGCATTCTTGTGCCCTGAGTGAAAGAACATAGATTCAAGGAAATGGAAAAGAACAAAATGTCAGAGAAAATAAAGATAACTGATAGAGAAAAGACTTGGAGCAGGCTGGCAAGGGACGGCTCATTGTCTGTGATGTGGTTTCGGGTGGGGAGAAGGCCTGGAGTGCAGAGAAGAGCCAGGGTGGAGAGGAAGCTGAGGCAGTCATGCCCAAGTCCCAGCCAAGTGTGAGGGAAGGGCGCCTGCAGGAGAGGGCGAGTCCCGAGCTTGAGGAGAGCTGAGCAGGTTTCGGACGAGGATGGCGAAGTAAAAAGAATGCTGAGCTTTTGGCAGGACATACTTGGGTTTAGGTAATGCGATTTGTAGTGGAACTTGTTGCCCCAGTTTTGTGACTTTCCTTATGAACTCTTGGCAGTTAAGAAGGAGAAAATGTGAATATTATGCCCTGCTCAGATGGACAAGTGCGATAGAAAGAGAATAGGACAGAGTCATCCCGAGTACTAGGATCATGGGTTAAGGGTTTGACCACATGCAGGGTTCCAGGGGCGTGTGAAGTACGCAAGGCCAGCAAGTGGGCATGTCCCTCATGACGCAGCAGCACGTAAAGGCCAAGAGCAAGGGCAACAGACCTTTGCACAGAAATGAAATGAGATGGAAAAACCAGACATGTCTCCTCAAAGCAATGAAAGTTACATCAATTTCCCTTTTCTCCCTCAAATTAAATCAAATCTCAGAAGAGCTAAGGCAGACAAATCAAGGGGAATGATGGCCTCTGAGGAGTGAAAGGGGAGAGGAAGAGATGGTCTAAATGGGGAGCAGTGTGAGGAAGGAGAGAGTGGGGAGGACGGGTGAGAGCAGGGCCGTGTGTCTGGGTGGCCACGCTGGAGAGGAGGTGAGGGCTGCTGTCGGACCCTCATCTTCCCTGTCCACGTTTCCTTTCTCTAGGAACTCTTACAGGCCAAACAGGATCTTCAGGATCTGCTCATTGCCAAAGAGGAGCAGGAAGACCTCTTGAGAAAGAGGGAGCGTGAACTCACTGCCCTGAAGGGAGCCCTGAAAGAAGAGGTTTCCAGCCACGACCAGGAGATGGACAAACTGAAGGAGCAGTATGACGCCGAGCTGCAGGCCCTGAGGGAGAGTGTGGAGGAAGCAACTAAGGTGAGTCAACCGAACTGGCCAGTCAGACCGTAGAGGGCGTTGGGATGGGGCAGGAGCATCTGGCTGGGGAACAGATGGCAGGATAGGACCACCTCTCCCACACCGCTGCCAGTTGTTTCTCTTCTTTTTCGTTACAGAGTCCAACTCGGTTTCATCAGATCATTGACAAAGAGTTTGTTCACAAGGAATAAGCTCAACAGTTCTGCAGTTGACCATTTTAAGTCTATAAACTGAAAAATTGTTAAGGACATTAGTTAAATGTTATTGCGTTGTATGGCGTTGTATGGCTTTGCTAACGGGTTAGGATTGCAGACAGGATCCAAATTTCTGGACTCCTTCACCCTTGCCCTAGCTTATTCTTTCTGACTTGTGAAGCCTTTTGTTAGACAATTCAGGTTCTTTTCTCAGCAAAGTTACAAGAGGGTTAATTGGCTGACTTGCCCAAACTCTTGCAAGATAATTTTTCTCTTAATTGGATTCTTGGCTCAGATGAAGAGATTCTAAATTCTGTGGAAGTCTTTTGGTGTGGGCTTCCTGTTGGCTGTTGAAGAAGAGAAAAGCAATGTTTTGAAGGGGGAAATGCTTTGAAATATCATGCCATCTTTAGGGAAAGAGGGGAATTACAAAGTATAAATTTTTTGGAGTCTCTGCAATATATAGGTTAAAGATGATAAAGAAGGAAATCTTGCTATTATTCGTTTATTCTGTGATGCTGACAGTGACAGCTCAGAGCTAGTGCCCTCTCTCTCTTAAGCTCCATCATGATTCACTGATTTTCAATTATGGCATGGTAATTGCAAATGACAAGAAGTGAAAGATGGGTTTGTTTGTTATAACAATAAAAAGTCTGGGAAATAGTCTGTTTGGGGTTATTATAACTGAGACAGTGGAAAAAAAAATCCCTTTGTTGATTCGCCTATCTTAGCTTTTTTTGAGGTTTGGTTTAGTTTAAGGGAGAAAAGCGAAACGTTTGATTTTCACTGTTTTGGGGAGACATGTCTGTTTTTTCCGTCTCATTTCCTTTTTTTGTCCTTGCTATTGGCCTTTTGTGCTGTTGCGTCATCATGTACCTGCCAGTAGACTATGGAGTAAAATGATTCTTCTCTGGACCCGTCGTGTCTTTATCGCCTTCAGACCTTGCATCAAAGCTCGAGTTAACATGGTATGGACATCGAAGGGTAGTCGAGGATTGTGTTTAGGCATGTTTATAGTGATTTGACAATAAGCAAAATTAAGCTAGTACCACACGTGAGACTTAAATAACTCTCTTGGCTCCCCGTTGCCCCACGCTTAAAGTTAACATTGTTAGCATGCTAGGCAATAGACCCCCTTTTCTGCCTAACCCTGTGTCCAGAAAACTCCACGTTTTTTTAGTCCTCTTACCTCTTTTCACATGTAGAGTGACTTCTTTCCACTTTTCTACATGACCAACCTCTTCTCATCCTTCAAGACCCTCCCCAGATATCCTCTCCTCTGTGAAGGTGCCCTAGCTAGGTACCTCCACTTCCCTTGGTGGAATTAGTCGCATCCTCCTTAAGGTTTCTGTTGCACCCTGCTTGTTTCCCTGCTGTAGTTTATATCGTACCATGTTGTAATTTATCATCCCATCTGCCAACTCCAGTCGACTCTGAGCTTCTTAACCACAAGGGCCAGTTTTGTCCCTTTTCTTTTCCTGGAGTGGGTGTGGCTAACTCAAGTACCTTGAGGGCCAGTCAGGGACATAAATGAGTGAAGTTCTGGCTGTTGTTGAGGTGGCAGTAGGGCATGGTGCGGACTGCGGCAAGCTGGAAAGTGTGTCCTTTGCTGCAGGGTCAGTTGCATCTCTTTTGTAGCTGAAAGTTGCCAGTGAAGGAATGCTGACCCCTGTTGCTAGAGCTCTCATTTTTTTTTTTTTTTTTGAGGAAGATTAGCCCTGAGCTAACTACTGCCAATCCTCCTTTTTCTGAGGAATGCTGGCCCTGAGCTCACATCCGTGCCCATCTTCCTCTACTTTATATGTGGGATGCCTACCACGGCATGGCGGGCCATGCAGTGCCATGTCCGCACCCGGGATCCAAACTGGCAAACCCCAGGCCACCGAGAAGCGGAATGTGTGAACTTAACCACTGTGCCACCAGGCCAGCTCCTGAGCTCTCAATTTTTAGAGAAGCCAGATATATGGATGTTGCCGTGAGATCTCCTGACTTTTAAGCATTGCTTGAAATTAAAAAAAAAAAAAAACAATCACATAGACCAAACGCGACCCATCTGCACTCGACAATGTGTGATCTTTGTCCCCTAAGCTTAGCTTAGCACAGTGCCTGGCACACAGTCACACCTGTGCAGTGTCTGATGCATGGAAGTAAGTGGAGGACAGATTCCCTCCCCACTGGATTGTCAGTCCCTGCTGTGCGGTTCTTACTGGATTTTCTCCGATGGTGATGGGGAAGTCTTTTAGGAAACTCTGCTATTATTCTGTGAATTTCTGTGCTTTACTTTTGAGTTCCCCTGCAGTTTCTTCAAGGGGATCATGATTGTGTTTTTGCACTTTGTTAGCTTTTGCTTCTGAAAGTGAATGCTGAACAAATGTGATAGAATCAGATTTAATGGAAAAAATTCTGTCAGTGTAGCAGATGGATGCTGCCGTTGTGTTACATCATTTACAGGTTGGTATTATTTAATAGAATTTTAAGACTAGTCTATTAAGTACTGGAGGAGACTGAATTAAATATAATTTTTTAATTCGGTTCAAAGTGTTTCTTAAATTTATGCACTAGCCTTTAGTCTGTTCCTGTCCCAGGAAAGGACCCATCCACCCACCACTGTGGCTAAAAGCTGACATTTCTCAAAGGAACTACATTGCATTCAAAAGTTCATTTCCTTGGTGAGTCTTAGAAGGCAGTCCAACCTCCTGTCATCAGTCTTTCTAATTTTTGCCACTGCCCCAGGGCCAAAAACCCCTAAAGTGCTATTTTCTCATTGTCGAATAACAAATATTTCACCCTGGCCTGCGCTTGAGTACTAAAAGTTTTCAATTTCTAAAACATTTGGTAAAAACTGTCAAAGTATATTAAGAGCAGTTTACAGGAATTCCAAACACTTAAGCTGTAAAAGTGGTGTTTATAGACCCAAACAGCCATACCTTTTTAAGAACAGATAGCTTGACAGATGAGAATTCCCGAACACCTTGGTTATGTGGGGTTTCCTCGAGCTCAGGGCGGACTGCACCTCTCCCACCAAGCAGGCGTGGGTTGGGGGGTTGGGTGAGCTCCTTCTTCCCTTCCCGTAGAGAAATGGATCTTCCCAGTCTGTCAGAAAGGGGAGTCTATCTATCAAACATTCTTTGCAAGGACTGTGAAATACTTTGACACCTTATTTCATAACATACTTTTTTCTGTGTCACATCCTTTTATACTCTTTCTAGTTTTGAAAAGGAAATGTCTTTCTCCTTGGGTTGGTGGCAGAGGCTGGAATTCTTGTGAAGAAATGGACAGTCAATGGTGATGTGAGTGACCGCTGTCTGGGTGTGAATGAAGAGCGCCCACGGCCGTTAGCTTCTCTTTCTCATCCCTGCCGCTTCCTGTCGCCAACTCTTATGCAAAAGAGAAGTGCAGACACTCTACTGTTTTCAGATTTCTCAGAGAGTAGGCTCAGCTCACATTCCAGGTCCTCTAGGAACATTCCTAGTTCCCTTTTAAACCTTACAGTTTCCAGGGACCTGGTATATTGGAAATGTTGTTTTTGGTTTCCCTTCCCTGTCATACTAAGGACTGTTGTCATTTTCCACTCATCATCCTCAATGGCCTTGGCCCTTAGTACGTATTCAGTAAACCTTTGTGGATCAGAGAGATGAAGAGACAAAGGGGAGATGCCCTTTGAGTCCCAACAATCCCAAGACCAGGCATTAGACTGTTTTGGGGCCTCATTTATGAATTAAATTTTTTTCTCATGAAATTAACAAATCTTGTCTGTTGGGAGCAGTAGCATAGTATTTATGTTAATCTTGGAAGGACTAATTTTGTGTCTAAAAGTTGCAGGTATTTTGAGGATGATAAAAGAGCCGCTTTTATTTTTGTATTGGGTGATATGACTTCTGGACCATTAGGTGTTTTCGGAGTGCCCAACGTATAACAGTTAGGCAACAAATATGTCTTAAATGGATGGGTGAGGGAGAAGAGGAGGGAGGATGAAGATGTGTGAGATACTCTTGCCATCCTTCACTTCTCCATTTGTACTGTTTTTAAATACAGCATTTATTGGGGCCAGCCCTGTGGCTGAGTGGTTAAGTTCGCACGCTCTGCTTCCGCAGCCCGGGGTTTCACCGGTTGGAATCCTGGGCCCAGACATGGCGCCTCTCCTCGGGTCACGCTGAGGCAGCATCCCACATGCCACAACTAGAAGGACCCACAACTAACATATGCAACTATGTCCTGGGGAGCTTTGGGGAGAAAAAGAAAAAAAAAAAAATAAATACGGCATTTATTAATTTACTTACTGAATAATTGCCAAGCGCAATTGCCAAGTGCAAGGTATTGTGCTCAGTTCTGTGAGTGTTATGAAGATCAGTCAGATAGAATGTATCTTCCAGAAGATTGAAGGGGAAATGAGTAGCGCTCAAGCTGATTACAGTTTGTTGTTGTTAGTGCCACTGAGTTGATTCTGGCTCCTAGCAGCCCTGTGTACAGCAGAGGGGAACCCTGCCTGGGCTTTTTGCGCCATCCTTTCACCTTCCAGCACTGTATCAGCCAATGCTCCGCTGCTATTCGTAGGGTTTTCATGGCCATTTTTTCGTGGATGTGGGTGGTCGGGTCCTTCTTCCTAGTCTGTCTTAGTCTGGAAGTTCTACTGAAACCTGTCCACCGTGAGTGACCCTGCTGGTATTTGAAATACCAAGGGCATAGCTTTCAGCATCACAGCACCACACAGCCTCCAAAGTATGACAACTGACACACGGGTGGTGTGGTTTCCTGACCAGGAAACAAACCTGGGCCACAGGGGTGAGAGCATGGACTCTTAATCTC